GCCTTTTGAAAGCTCTCTTTCCTTTTTTTTGTACTCGATTCTAAAATAAAGGCAAACAGTGAGAAAATGTTCTGCTCGTTTCCTAAAATGACACACTCTTTTAAGGCAAAAAACGCACATTCTCTGCCCTTTGAAACTTTTTTACCCTGAAAATCAGATGGTTGCTTAATACGAAAATATTTTGAAATGCTTGAGCTAGACAAGGACTAGAAAGCAAAAACAGGGTTGTGTGTAGGAAGAAACGAAAGCACCATATGATATTTATGTACTTCCAGCCAATGAATTTCAATCAGACAGTGCGCTATCCAAACACTCCACAAAATTGGGAGTTGGAGTGAATCCAAAAAGTTTTCTTGATCACCCTCGGGGAGAAAGAATCTAGAGTTGCACATATCCTAACTATCGTTCAGCACTTGCTGAGCTGATACCAGAGCAGCCTACAGGCACCAGCCTATTTTTCTCTGCGAACCGTCTCTGGGGTATTCTTCTAAGCGAACTCATCCGGTGTGTAGTTTCATAAAATATTACTATACCCATGAACATAAGTTTAACTGAGAAATAATCTGATACAACCGATCGAGAAGTCAGACATTTCCAGATCAATTGCGAGCGCGCCGTGGGCATGTCTAAGGCCCTAATTGTCGTTTGGCTTTAATAGTATATTTTACCTCCATTATGGTCGTCAAACTTTAATGCACCGTCGAATGATTCTTTATGGCAGCAACATATCTCGGTCTAGAACGCTATAATAGTCTGAAAGACTAACTTTAAGTCTGATGCAGAGTTCTTGACAGATGACCATTTCAGCACTGATTTGTTCACCTAGCTACGCCACGTAAATTTGAAATTTCCCCACCTCTCTCTTTTTATTGCAAGTGGCGTAAGGGCTGCTTGGAGTCAGTCTATGTACGCAGTAGCCTATGTTATGAGGGACGAAATCGGAGCTAAGTACTCAATTCCCAGACTAACTACAATATCGACGGAAGTTAAATTAAGCCCGACGTCCAAGGTTAAAGTGGTAGTAGTTTGAAGTGCCCCACTGATTCCAATAAGGGCGGCCTGTCACACGAGCGAGAAACCTGGGTTATGTCAAACAAAGATGCGAAGGCTTTGGGAGCTACCGAGTGAACTATTAAACGCAAGATCCAAGGCCCTGTTTGCATTGGCAAAGGATACCGAAGAAGATATAATAACGAACTGTGCGAGCTTTTTAACGATGTGCTGGATTCAGCATGTTGTGCGCATGGATGATGATACTCTAGTGAAACTATTCTTCAATTGGGCCCCATATGTGGACAACGAAAGAAGGGGCGCCCACGAGTGCACTCGGGATGAAAACCTGGCGCAACCTTGCAGAGGAGAGAGGCAATTTGCGAATATTTTTGGTATTGGCCCAAATTGACGAACGGTTGTAGAGCCAAACAAGAAGAAAAAGTAGTGAACAAGACCAGCTCCGAATCGAGAGAAATCGCCCACTATATGAAGACCACTTAGTAACAAGCTCGTGTCTGAGCTCATGGGTTAGTTCAAGAAGTATACCCAAAAACTCACTTCTCACCCAAAGTACTACGTTATCTGCATAGACAGTCATACGATAGCTTAGCTCTTTTGCCTATACAGCAGGAAGTCGTTCGCTTCCTTTGCTCATTTACATTAGATAGAGCTAGTGCCCCATTTAGTAAGGATAGTTCTATAGCAAAGTATGTCTATGACATGCCGAGGTTATAAAGCTGTCAATACCAAGAAAGGACTCCAACAACAGGTCCTTATGGGAAAAAGCTTCCCACATACGCAAAATTATTAAAAAGAATTGGTGAATTATAGAGTAACAATATGGGTATCAATTAAAAGAAAAAATTCCCTTGAATTGAAAAAAAGAAAATAAATTTTTTGGTACACCAGGACGAATAAGTGTTGAAAATGTCCTTTTAAAACTTCATCCTTGAATATACTTGAAAATTTCCAATATTTATTTACGAAAAAAATATATGTCAATGACTAGTACGTAAACTACCACATCCTCGAATTTCGTACTTCTAACTTTATTAGTTTTAGATAAAAACAATGTTAAACTTTTCTTTATAAGATATTGATAGTTACAATATACATAAATGAAGATACTGGAATCATTACAGTGTACAGCATTCGGCTGGGTGTTGGACCAAACCAAATTTTTTAAGCGATTGAATCATAGGTAAAAAAGTAATTTCTCCGTTTTTCGAAGATAGCCTACAAAATGGAGATATGGGCCTTCGAAGTTCGAAATAGGGCCTTTGGAAAAAAAAATATTTTTTGCTCATATTTAAATGGTATATAACTTTTTTTATGCAAACTTATATTACAGGTGCTATAAGGGGTCACAAGTCTGGTCTTCGAAAAACTAAAAACCTTATATTTCAAACAATTTTAAATTGGTTTTTAAAAAATTGGTATCGTGATTAAACCCCCTTTCTTCTGATATGCATACTTGTATACTTTATTTGTAAAAATTTGAGAAAAACCATTTAAAAGGAAAAAATACATTTTATATAAAAAAATAAAAAAAAATAAAAATTACAATTGATTTAAAAAAAATTGATATCGTAAACACAATCAAACCTTCTTTCTTCTGATATGCGTTTTTTTATAAAAAAAAAAAAAATTTACAAAAAATGTATGTCTCCAGATTCTACATTCGAGCCTTCGCTTTCGCTGGAGGAATCTAAAATTATTTTTAGGTTTCTTATTAGACTTTTAGCAGTACTTGTTGAAGGCCCATCAATGTTGCTTGATATATCTACTACTTAACCGTTTAGCGCCTGAAGCTAAAAGCCGGTTATTGTCCGCATCCTGGTTAGACACGCCAATGACAAAACTCAGCGGCTGACTATTGTCTTTACTACTGCACCTAATGCTATGCCGCAAATTTATCTTAAGCTCTCGTATGGTGACAATTGTCAGTGTTTTTGTTAAGGCCTACTGAGTACGCGACAACGGTGAAACAATGCTGCGATTCATAAAACGTCGCAAAGTGGCATTTTTGGCGAAATGGCAACGTTGCGAACAAAGCTGTGGGAAAGACCTATCGCAACAAGTGAAAAATAAAAATGTTTACAATTAAATTTCGAAGCAGCCTTAACTGATATTCGATTTCGAGACTTTGAGTTTGCAATGATTGCCAAATCAAATATAGCTGAGTATAGTAAGTTTTCCGCTAAAGAATTGCAGCGAGAGCGTAAATTCAAAATAGAGGGTAAAATTGAGAAGAAGAGAAAACTAGCAGAAAAAGTTGTGGAACACAAAACTAGTAAAAACTTGCAAGGGTACATTTGTTACACTGTTTTGACACATTTTTACAATTTATGAATCAGTTTTAAACTCTTTGCTATACATACATAAAATCACTTACCCAGACCAGTATATCATTCATATTTTGATTTCCACTCATATTAATTTTTGTTTACGCTTTACCAATTCAACAAATGACGACCTTTGACATTTATTGTCCTTCTTCTTCTGCTAGCTAATTTCTGCTAGTAAAAATTTCACTAGCGAGAATTTCAAGTTGTCCAGTAACTTTTCCAGCAAAAATTTGCTGGTTCCATTACAAATTAGTACTGACTTTTTGTTACTATACACACCTAGGGTGTTTTAGGCGCAGTAATTGGGACAAGCCTACTAAAAAATAATACATTATTGCACATCTAGTGGCTAAGTCTTAAAGCTTATTGTGATTTAATATAGTAATTTTATTAACAGGTGGCAACCCTATTCAAAAAAGAAAATACTATTGCTTACCAAGAGGCCAGTCCCTATCATTTGGCATCTCATTTTTGAAATCCCACGAACGGTGCGGGTCTTATAAGTTTTTAGACAGATGGCAACTCTATAGAAATTCTAAGTACCAAAGGTCACTCTCCTATCGATATAGAATATATTAGAGAAAATCTCGTCCCAATCTGTTCTTATATACTACGTATAGAATATTAGTCGTATAAACAGGTCATTACTCCGGAAGTGACCGTCAATTGAGTATAGGTATTCAAAGTTTCATTCTGCAAAATAAAAATTCAAATATGTATGCATATGGTAAACTGTTTATACAGAAAGGTGTTGAATGTTTTATTTTCATTACGCATGTTCACTTGCATTGAAATTACATGTGTACATACCAGGGTTGTTACGAATATTTGCATTCGCAATAAGCAATGCGGAACTTTCGCGAATGCGAATGTTGTGCAAGTGCACCGATAAAACGTATATCTGGCAAACAAAATGACAAATTGTGGCCAGTATTTTTGCCTATGGTGGTGGGAGCATTTGTGTAGCAAAACTAGTCAAATGTCTTATTTATCGTCTTTTATAAAAATGTTTTTAAACATATTATGGGTTTTCATAGAAATGCCTAAATGCCTGACACATCTGGTTTGGCCTGTAAGCGCTGTTTAAACAACGATCTCGCCATTATGTTAGATTCTAATTGTTTCTTAAAATTAATTGACATCCGCATGCTCATTCCACATTCGCAACATCCCTAGTACATACGTACCTAAATACATACATATACACGTATACAAAATAAAATAAATATTTGGCGCTCAATTGTTTTTTTTTAGTGTTTGGCCGAAGTTCTCCATCAATTTGTGGTGTGCGTATGTATGTATGAATATCTAAAAGTATGCAAACAGGCGTTAGACCCTTTCAATGCACATTGGTCGAAATGACCTGTTTCAGCGGCAGTAATTCACAGGAAGAAGTTTGAGCTGTAATATTCGGCACATGTATTAGTGACAGTTAAAGAAGTGTACAGTGAAAAAATCAGCTAGTTGGATCGATATATAGGGGAGTTATATCGATTTATATGTCCGTCCGTCGAAATATTGTCCAACCAATTTTTTTTTTTTTAATATTTATTAAATCATATTATCAAATTCATTTCTGTACTCAAATACATTAAATAACTTAAACAATATTCTTTGAAAGGTTTATATATAACATCTATCCAGACGGTTCATCAATACTTATTCAAACTGTAAAGAAAGATAAGGTAAAATTAAGAAAATTGTTATGTTAACATTTGTAAATAAACTCTTACGTCAAAATATTCCAACGTTTCTTTGGCATCTAGTTCGATATGCAAATGAGGTATAAAGTCTTCATCTTCAGAATCTGAAGAATTTTCTTTTACTGCAGTACTTGGTGTAGGACATTGACTCTCAGGAATATTAGGAACCTTTAAAAGGTATAAAACTTCTCTTGGAAGAGGAAGTCGTTTCTGGGCCAAAGCGCGGTTTGTTAAACAAATGCTGGACAAAATAGGGCCGGAAGAGTCCATTGCTCTGTTGAAAACATCCATTAAATTATGCTCTCTAGAATCCTTTCTAGCATGCTCAATGCGGTCGTTTTTGTAGAGTTTGTTCCTCGCTTCAGATGCATTTTCTCCTGCACAACCGAGAGGTACGACTGAAGTTTGTAAAATTTGTGAAGAATGTACGAGAATTTTATGTACAGTCGCGGACATTGGGTACCAATCGTATATTTTAAAATATATTTCAGCAGACGCATTACATAAATCTTTCAACTTTTCGGGATTTATTTCATATTCACAGGAAATTACAATAAGAATAATACGCAAGTGCTTTATAAGATCAACGTCAACGTTTGTTATATTCGCAAACTCTTCAGGATTTGAAAATGCTCGATCCACTACCATTAGATTTTGGCTTATGTACATGAAGACCCATTTTTTCCCAAAATTGTGTTTGAATTTCAGCTTTTCTTTTTTTCATTATAATTTTTTCTTCAGCATTTCTAATTTGCCATTTTTTGAGCTGAAGTCTGAAAGAAATATTTAGAAAAAATTCAAAGCATCGAATCCAGGCATGTAATGGACTTATGCCAAATTTTAATGTATTATACTTTGGGAGATAAAGCGATGAATTCACATTTTTAATTAACAAAAACTGCTTAGGATTTCCTCCGCATATTGGACAAGACTGAGAAGACTTTGTTCCCGTAAGTACGTTTAAAACTTTGCCATCAATTAATGTCATAATAAGTTCATATTTTACTGTAATTTTTCTACCGTTTCCAAAACCATATTCTAAGTTAGTAAGATTTAATATTTGCTGATCCAGATTGTGTTTTTCTTTTAGAATATGTTCTCTTGTTTCCTTCACAAATTCAATTTAAAGTGGTCGACAAAACCGAACTGATTGAGGAGTACGATTGATCCAAATAATTGCATTATCCAACGTGATTATTTTTAGGGGTATAACTGACGTTACAAAGAGCGAATTATCAGAACCTCCGGCAGATTCGTCGGTAATTATTTGCTTAAATGAATTTTGTCCTGTGGAA